ATTTCATCCATACATACACCAGATATAGTTACCAGCAATAGTTGCTCAATATCAGCCCAGGGTGGCCAACCCGGACTTATTGAGTAGATGATGATGATTTGAAGATAGCAGATTTGAAGATAACAGCTGGAGCTGAGTGAACAGATGCATTTGTGCTCTGATGAAACAGCAGTAGAGAAAGAGACTCACCCAACTTGGCATTTTCAAACTGTTCTTTTATAGGGATTGGCATCCTTTGTTTCAGTGCTTTGGGGTTTTTCCATACCCAGCTTCTGTTTTTGCAGTTGTTCTTCTTTTGTCTTCAGCTTATCTTAGCTTTGGAGTATTCTTGTTGCCCATCTGGCAGAATTTTTTCTTTTATCATCTCCTTTGTGCCCTCGAGCTTCAAAGGGATTCTTCAGCAGTTTATTAATTAGTTTACTGACCGGTAACTTACATCTGATGCCTTGTTGCTTACATAAACAGTTCAGTCGTCTTCTTCCGTCTCTATGCCATTCTCTCACCATTCACCCTTTTACACACAGTCATACATAAAGGCTATGCAGAGTTCATTCACTTATGTCAAGCAGAAAGATGCAAAATGGAGTTTTCAAGTTGCTTACAGGACAAGAATAACATGGTTATATTTCACTATTATTACACTCTATGTTAACATCAGCTACATTAGTTCAGTTTATGCTACACTTTTCCTTAGCTATCTGGCATCATAAAAGGTCTTAACTGATTTACTCATTTAACCTGAATGAAGAGAGGTTTTACCAAGGTCTGGGTTGATCTACAGCTCAGAGACATGCCAGATACCAACCATTATCACTTTCTAGCTTAATTCAATTTATTAAAATAAAAATTGCATTCTAGAAGCTGATAGCTCATCATAGCCTCCTTCAAATAGTGGCACCCTTTACTTTATTGACGTATAAACTCTGTAACTATGTTAAAAAAATTAACTGTGTTTGCCCTCTGGCAAGTAGGTTCTTTCTCTTGTTCTGTCTCACAAATTATTATACCATCTATTTTTTTATTCCATACTATATTTTTAAAGGTCAGGGCGGCTAGAGTCTGGAACCAGCTTCCAAGTGAGGTGGTGCAGGCTCCCACCCTGGGGGTTTTTAAGAGGAGGTTGGATGACCACCTTACTGGGGTCATTTGACCCCAGTGCTCTTCCTGCCATGGCAGGGGGTCAGACTAGATGATCTGCTCAGGTCCCTTCCGACCCTAGAAACTATGAAACTATGAAACTATTGATAGGGTATTTTCTTAATCTCTCTTCTTTGCTAGAAAAAAGCGGAGATTCTTGAGTTGATGTGAACTTATACTGTAACATCTTTACAATGCTCTTTTCAGACACTGATTATAACACTGTTGCTTGTCTAATGCCTTGTGCTGAATGATATTTTTATTTTACCTATTTAATCCAAATGTGAAATTACTCATCAATTCATCATGACCCATCCTGATTTTGAAATTTTCACTTCCTTCTTGTATTGCTTCTATGTACATCATTTTGAGAGAGTGATATATGAGATCAGTGAAAAAAGAAGATACTAATTTTGTTACATTGCATGATAAAAGTACCTTTAAAATTTAATTTATTTTCTCTATATCATTATGAAAAGAGGTTAGTATTAGAATGTATTTAGAGGTGTTACCAAGAAACTGTATATGAACTGAACTAATTTATATTATGTCTTAATTCCTATAAAATTTGTAAACTGCTGCTAGACAATTATCATTATACAGTTTGTAATTAAAGTTATACTATTCTTTTACCATTATTTAAAGGCCTTTAAAAACTGGTGGTAGACTAAAAATAAAACGGAAATCTAATTCTTGTAGGTGAGGCAAAGACAGTGGTTTACACTGTGATGGCAATGGGAAGAAAAGCCTTGTTATATAGGATGAGGTGGTGCAACTGGGTTCTGATAATATAAACAAAGGAAATGTGCTGTCTTCAGCAAAGATAAAACTATTAATTAACATAACGGAATTGGAAGTTGAATCCGTAATCACTGCTATGTGTAGATAATCAAAACCCCTTCCACAACTCCAGGTTTTTAAGAGTTCCAACTATGCAGTATATTATTAGTTACTTCATTGTAAAAAAGCTGCCATTTTGAAAAGACTGAAAGCATTTCAGTAGTTTGTTTTTTTCAGAGGAAGTTCCAAGTCTTCCATTTACTCATTTATTTTGCATGCAGGGGGCAAAGTGTCATCTTTGTGTGCTTCAGTAATTTTGTACAGCACCCAAAACAAACAAATACTAAGTTACTGAAGTCAAAGTGGTGTGCAGGTAGCTAGGTCCTATTTTGCCTATATACCTTTGTATACATCTATCTCAATAAAAGTGAGTATATGATTTATTGAAAAATGTTTTTTAAAAATTTGCTACTAAGTGTGTAATCTTTCAAGAAATACCAGATAGAATGTACCTTTCAGTGAGGTAGAAATGCTGCACTGTGTTCCCAGCCAATCTGAAAGCTGATCGTGTTGGGTTTTTTCCCATTGTCATTTTATTGCCTTATCTAAAAACCCTACCTTCTAATGCTCAGTACAATAAAGTAAAGATTAGCATGAAGAAATGGTCTCAAACTCCTGCTTGCATAGACTTTAAAAAAAATACATCCAAGTAAGACCATACAAAACTGTAAGTATTTTTAGAAGCTAAAAGCAGAGCTTGAATCTATTATTGTCTTAGTTCACATTCCCAGCAAATAAGAGTATCAGTCCTTTCACTAAATTAAATACAAAGTATTTTTAAGGGAAGAATAAAATCTAACATACCAGTTTTATACTGGAATGCAATGCTGTCAAAATAGGTCTCAGGCTGTTTCTGATACTAAAAATTATTTTTCATTCTGTCTTCTAAATGGTTTATTTAATGAATAAGATCTTGATGAGTACAAATGCAGTTGCTAACATAAATGAAATAAAAAGCTAATTTAAGAAAAGGAAATAGTGCTAATTATAAAATACAATTCATACATAGTTTACTATAGAAAAAGATCATGAAGAAGCTTCATGGGAAAATAGGCATCATTTGATCTATTCTTCAATTCGTCACAGGCAAGCTGCTTTTTAGTATTAACATATCAAAATGCCTACATATATTTTTGAAGTAAAACAGGAAATGTATGTTCACTTTGTTATAGAACATAAATAACGTAATCTATGATGTAATCACTAATGAATAATTATATATTTGGGAAGAAATATTGAATATACCAAACTGAAATTGTGGATTTGGGTGTTTTTTTTAATAGCTACCAACATGTAAGGGCATATGGATTTAGGGTTTTGTTTTTGACCTATTAGAAAGGATTAGGTCACTTAGAAAATTTGGGTCAATTTATTTTTTAAGATTTTTATTCTGGTCCTTCTCTTGTACTAAGATTACAAATTGGGATGCTGGTCAGTAGGATAAGTAATAGTTAGAATTCCACATTTTTGACTGAATGTATTGGGAACTTTACTGATTATGATACCGAATAAGTTTTAAAATATCTGGACGTAGCATGTTTCACATGTTTCAAACAAAATGAAAGCAAGAGTAATTACTGTTATGGTCAGTTTTTCAAACTTTTAGCTTAGAACTTTTATTGGCCGGAAGCATGTTAGAGACATGACATTGTATCTGAAGCATTATTACACCCAACATCTTTCTGACATGCAGCACAATTATGCTTTTTAAGGTTTCATTGTTGTTCCTGGTTTCATATCACACCATGATGTCTCAGCAGAACACTGTTATCATCTATCTTTTGTGCCCTGTATGTTTGTCAGAATCACTCACTATTGTAATTGCTGCTCTAAATATATGTTTTAAGTTCTCATTCTGTTTCTCTGTACATTTCAAGTTATCTCTGAATAAGTGTTTCCACTTCCAGGGGTGTGCCTGTATGGTCCCCATCTCCAGGAAACAAGTCCTGCCTACTCACTCCCACTCTACATATGTTACATACTGAAAATTATCATATAGTTGTTGTTAGAGCAATGCCAGGTACACCTAATGCAGATTCAGGAGCACACCCAAAATAGAGATCCTAAAGGCAACCTTGGGCATACTTAACAAAGTGACAACACAGTATTTTTCAGCAAACAGCATTTGCAGCGCAGGAGTAAGCGGGCTAGGGTTGTTTTTTGGCAAGTTTTCAGATTGCTGTGAAGATGTTATAGAAGTACTGTTTGTATGGTTGATTGTACCAGCCTGAAGCCAACTTGCCGTCTTACTTATATTTGTGTTTTAAGACATGGGACTCATCATTCTAATTCTGTATGGGTGAAATTCTTTAGAAATAGGATTTATTCAGTTCTTAAGTGCCCTTGTGCTGGATTTAATAATAGGAGTTAGTTTACTTTCTTAGCCTTAATTCTTTTATACATTAAACATGAACTAGTGACAGAGTGATGTTGATTTGTTACAGTGGGTATGGGAGAAAGTATTTTCTGATGAGTTTGGAAAATGGAGAGCCAGTGAAGCAGAAAGATGCGAGGAGGCGGTTTTCAAATGACAGTGTGACAGAAGAAGGCTCAGGCACAGCATGATAGAGCTGTGTGACGAGACAGAGAGCAGGCTAACATTAACAGGGATTGGAGAGGAACAGTAGAGGTGGGAGGTCACATGAGAAGTCCTGACCAACACATGCCCAATCTTTTCGTGTTCACACATCTATGATGTCAGAGGTTACTGCAACTTGTTCAGTTTTGGATTAAAATGGATCCATAACCATGAGATTGCCAACTTCTGCATACTGGGCAAGGAAGCAGAATTTAAGGCCAGAATTTATTCAACTTTAGTGAAATGTATGTCTCATTGCTGCTTTATACTGGAAGTGGGGCCCCTCAGTACTCACCTCTTCTTCTGTGGTATATTAGCTCAGGCTGCTTTCCAGGAAGTGGTAGACAATTCAACAAGTTCTGCAATATCTAATTTTTATTTTTGTAGCCTCAGCTTCGTGAATCATATTATTACATGAGTGTCTTGGCTTTATTTTTTTAAGTAGAATGTAGCACAATTTGTTCCTTCTGAAGACTGAGATCACTGCACACACCAAGAGCTCCTGTTATGATATTTGTGACCCAAATTGTAATTCTCAGGACTGACATTATCCTCTGTGACACATGTGAAAGCATAAGTAAGTGCAAACTTTCTTCTTTCTTTGGCAATCCCTTGCAGTCAAGGATCACAGTGTTCTGTGAATGTCTTATCCTTGTGTCCTAAGATGGCTAATGAGGCCAATCCAGAAGCATCAAACTCTGTTGCAACTTGGGTATGTGTTTCCATGCAGGGTGGGTGCCTCCAGATTCTTGATTTGTTCCATGATACACTGTTTCTACTGCTCCCGCTTTTCCATCTCCTATTATCATCATAAGGTTTCCAAGTACTGAGATCCTTGCAGTAAGCTGTTCCTTCATTTGTGGTGGTCCTGCTCGATAGTCTCTCATAAGCTGATGTCAGTGTTGCATTTTTTTCAAGTTGGCCTTGAGAACATCCTTGAAGCATTTTGTCTGACCTCCTCTTGAGCATATACCTTGACTGAGCTGGGACAATAAAACTTGCGTTGAGAGTCTGGAGTTGGACATTTGGATGATGTGGCCAGCCCAGTGAAGGTGATACTGGATGATCATTGCCTCGATGCTCAAGGTGTTTCTTTGTGAGAGGACACTAATGTTGGCACATCTAGCTTCCCGCTCAATTCCAAGGAGCTTCTGCACAAAGCTTTGATGGTATTTCTCCAGCAACATACTGTATGTTGTCCACATCTCAGCTCTGTACAGTAAGGTTGGGATCATAACTGCCTGATAAACTATGAGCTTGGTTTTGGATCTGACGTACTGTGGCAGGCCAGTAGGGGGCGCTTCTGAGCTGAGCCACCTACCTCACTGCACCCAACCACCTTCCAGGCTCTGAGTGCCTCCCTGGGCGTGCCTCACATCTGGCCAACCCCTTTCCCAGAGCACACCTGCCAGCCTGTGGATAATGGTGCCACCACCCAGGGTCTGGAATGATCCTGGCTCTGTGTCCCCTGGGAAACACAGGCCTAGTAGCCCTTGAGGGTACTCGACCCACTTCAAGAACTTGGGGTGCTTCCCTCAGTCTGAAGCACAAAGAGTGGTCTCCCTTAGTCAGCCAAACCAAGGGGATCCCAAGGCATAATCTAGACCCACTCCCAATAAGTCTCCCATGCTACGTACAAAGGAGAACTTTCTTGGTTACAAGGAGTAGGTTTGGAATAGCGTACAGGGTAGAGCAATATCAAAGAAATCCGATAGAGAAAATGGGGTGGCTGGGTAACCTTTGATCACGCACCTGAGTTACTACAAGCTATATATCTAGTTAGAGCTCAAGTAACTTACTCACAAGTATCATCCAGAGGCAGATGAAGATTCCCTCTGGAGGCAGGCAGTTCCTTGATCATGAGTTTCAAGAGAGAGAACAAGTTTCAGATGGTCTAGCTCTTCTCTCTCTGAGTTTTTATCATGGCTACTGCTCCTCCTCCTGGGCAGTCCTTAATTTTTATAGACCTTATGACCTCATTTACCTGGTCTAATTTGAAATGTGTCACTGGTTGCCGGGTAGAATGACATTGCTTAGAACAATAGGGAGTCTAAGCCCCCAACCCACGTATGTGATGCCAGTCACGTAGATAGAGGGAGCATGTTTCCCCCACTCCTCAGGAATGTATCCAGCTCAGGTTACCTAAAGAAATGGGATGTCTGCCCTCTGCAGGGCCCATGTTAACCAAATTGTTACATAGCTGAGTTTTGACGGAGAGACAGAGGTGGCATTCTGCCACAATTACCATCTTCAAATACCCATTTCCTCAGGCATCTGAAGGCTGCACTTGCACATTCAAGGTGATGTTGGATTTCTTCACTGATGTCAGCCTTCTGCGAGAGAAGGCTTCCAAGGTATGAGTAATACTCTCCAAAGTCTCACCATGAATCTGAATTACCAGATCTGGACACTGCTCATTAAGAGGTTGATGGAAGACCTTAGTTTTCTGAATGTTACGCATCAGTCCCATTTTCTTATATGTCTTGTTAAAGATGTCAATAATTGCTTAAACATCAGCTTCTGAGTGAGCAGACTACAGCATCATCAGTGTACTGGAGCTCAATAATTGAGGTCAGGGTGGCCTTGGGTTTATCTTAGAGTTGGCTGAGATTAAACAGTTTACCATCTATTCAGCAGTTTAGCTCCACGGCAACTGGGAGCTTGTTTGTGGTCAGATGTAACATTGTGGTAAGGAATATAGAGAACAGTGTTGGAGCAATGATACAGCCTTGCTTAGCTCCTGCTTAACCTCAGAGGGATCTGTGATAGACCCATTAGTGAGAAACACCGTTTGCATACCATCATGGAGCAGGCAGAGAATAATGACAAATTTCGGTGGGAATACATACTTCAGAAAGAACTGCTTCTTGGTTGACAGAATCAAAGGTTTTTGTGAGGTGAAAGAATGCCATGTAGAGAGGTTTTTTGTTGTTCCTAGCATTTTTTCTGCAGCTAGCAAGCTGTGAAGATCATGTCAATTGTGCCTCTCAATGCCCTAAACTCACACTGAGATTCCGGGAGGAGCTCTTCAGCAAGTGGAAGGAGATGTTCAGGAGGGTTCTTGCAATGACCTTTTCTGTGGTGGACAGCAAGGCTATCCCTCAGTAGTTTCCACAGTCAGACTTGACTCCTTTCTTGAAGGTTGTCACAGTCATGGTGTCCCTGAGGTCATCTGGGATTTCCTCATCATTCAAGATCCTTAAGATGAAGGCATGGAGCTGTCATGTGAGCTCCTCTCCCCCCTGCTTGAAGATTTTGGTAGGGATTCCATCAGCTCCAGATGCCTTGTTGTTCTTCATCTACTTCATGGCTTTCCTCACTTCATGAAAGGTTGGGCTCTGACTGGGTGTTGCAGGATGGAGTTGAGAACACTATCATCAACAGCAGAGTCTTGATTGAGAAGGTCTTCAAAATGCTCCTTCCAACAGGTGTTGGTGGCTCCCCTTTCCTTGATCAGGTCTGCTCCATCCTTAGGTCTCAAGGGGATTGGTGGCTGAGTGCTCAGACTGTCAATGCTTTGGTGGCATTAAAAAACTGTATATATTGTGGATGTCAGCAAGATGTTGAATCCCTTTCGCCTTGTCTTTTCACCATTTGTTTTTCATATAGCAGATTCTTCTTTGGACCTCCATCTTGGCTATCATTCTGCCAAGCACAAGAGGCATTGAGCTTGTGGTCAATCAACACTTGGATCTCCCAGTCACTCTCATCAAACTAGTCTTGAAGTTTTCTGGTTGAGAATCCAAGTGTCTCTTCACAGACATGGATGATAGTGGACTTGAAGGCACCCCAGGTATTGCCAACATTCTACCATTGTTGTTGATTGGAATTCACCAGTTTTTCATTGAGGCTGTGGTGGAAGAGGTCTCGCTTGATTGGGTTCCTCAAGTCCTTCAGCAGTGATCTTCTGTTACCATTGCTTCTGCTGTAGCTGTCATTTAGGAGCCAGTTTGAGAGACATAACCAAGCAGATGAGTCAGTGATCAGTGCAGCAATCATCAGCTCCCAGTGTAGCTCAGGTGATGTGGGCATCTTTGTGATCCTGGGCATAAACAATGATATAGTCAATCAGGTGCCAATGCTTAGATCACAGGCATTGTCATGATGCCTTGTGCTTGTTTTATTGGTGGATCAGGGTGGTGGTGGTGGTGAGTCCATGTTCTGCATATTTGGTCAAGAGGAGTTGACCTTTCCTGCTCCTTCCTTGCTGATGGTTCCAGAGGTTTGAATCTCTTCTGACTCTGGAATTGAAATCATTGAGAAGAATAAGTCTCTTTCCCTCTGAACTGTCAGAAAAGACCTGGGCAAGGTTGGTGTAGAATTCCCCCTTGGTTTCATTGGTGGCATCAAGATTTAAGCTGGATAGAAAACTGGCTAGAGCATCAGGCTCAGAGAGTAGTAATCAATAACTCAAAGTCTAGCTGGCAGCCAATATCAAGTGGAGTGGCCCTGGAGTTCATTCTAAGGCCGGTTTTGTTCAATGTCTTCATCGGCGACCTGGAAGGTGGCATAGCATGCACCCTTAGCAAGTTTGTAGATGACACCAAGCTGGGGAGAGTAGTAGATATGCTGGAGGGTAGAGCTAGGATTCAGAATGACCTAAATAAATTGGAGGATTGGGCCAAAAGGAATCTCATGAGGTTCAACAAGGAAAAGTGCAAAGCCCTGCACTTAGGATGGAACAATCCCATGCACCAGTATAGGCTGGGGGCTGACTGGCTGGGCAGCAACTCTGCAGAAAAGGACCTGGGACAATACATTGGACAATAAGCTGAATATGAGCCAGCAGTGTGTTCTTGTTGCCAAGAAGGCTTACGACATGGGTTGCATTCGTAGGTGTGTTGCCATCAGGTCAAGAAACGTGATTATTCCCCTTTATTCAGCGCTGGTGAGACCACATCTGGAGTACTGTGTTCAGTTGTAGGCCCTCCCTCCCCCCGCCACAGAAAGAATGTGGAGAAAATGGAGAGAGTCCAGTGGAGGGTGACAAAAATAGTGAGGGGGCTGGCGTACCTGACTTATGAGGAAAGACAGAAGAAACTGGACTGACTTAGTCTAGAGAAGAGGAGACTGAGAGGGGACTTAATAGCAGCCTTCAACTACCTGAAGGGGGGTTCAAAAGAGGATGGAGCTAGACTGTTCTCAATGGTGGCAGATGACAGAACAAGGAGCAACGGTCTCAAGTTGCAGCAAGGGAAGTTTAGGTTAGATATTACAAAGAATTTTATCACTAGGAGGGTAGTAAAACAGTGGAACAGGTTACCTAGAGATGTGATGGAAGCTCCATCCTTGGAGGTTTTCAAGACGCCGGCTAGACAACACTTTGGCTGGGATTATCTAGCTGGGGATAGTCCTGTTTTGACCAGGGGGTTGAACTACATGAGCTCCTGAGGTCCCTTACTACCCTAACTTTCTATAATGCTCTGACTCAGGGGATACGAACTGACAGTGGTATATTGGCTTCCTGCCAGTTAAAGACAGAGAGTCATGAGGTGCTCATTAATTCTGATAGGGAACTCATTGAGTTGGTTTATGAGTTTAGACTTTATGGCAAAATCAACTCTGTGAAGCCAGCAT